TTTAGATGAACTTTAATGATGTTTTTTAACATGCACTGGAATCCAAGGCATAAGAAGAGGTTAAAATATGATTTTTAAGTTCTCTGTGACGAGCACAAGATCAATTATCTCATCACTAGTAATGCAGCCACATGCTTTGAAAAAGGTCCAATTTGTGCAAAAATAATAATAAAAGGCTTCCCATCTGCCTAGCAACCAAGGTCATTGTGAACATTTAATCCTGTTTGTACTGGCTTTGAACTGGACACACATGCAGTTTATAGCTCCCCCTCTTGCACTTTAAAAATATTTCAAATGGCACTGGCTGCAGCTACCCAAAATTTTGATCTCACTTCATGATTGCAACAGTTATCTGCACAAGACAATCAAAACTGTTGTGTGTGCAATATGTGTGTGTGTGTGTGTGTGTGTGTGTGTGTGTGATGAGAGAGAATCTTGCAGGTGCTAGTGTTAGTCCACCTGCCTGAGGGGCTCAACCACACTCTGTAAATTAAGAGAAAATGTGTTTTTCCTAATCAGATCCTTTAAAGAGAATAGAACTTGCCAATCAACTGCCATTCCACCCAATAAACGAAGCAACACATTTAGGGTTAGATTACCTCTGTCAGTTTCAGTAGTTAGCAGGATGATATTGACTGCAAAAAGAGGGCAGTTTCATCTGAGAAACAATTGAAGTTCAGTTGCCAGAAATAAAAAAGGGGGGACCCTGTCCCCTTATTCAAACAAAACAAAAAAGCTGTTGCTCTGCAAATGTCAACAGGTTTTTCCCAAGATATTAAATTAAAAGAAGGAAATAAATTCTAAATGTGATTAGGTGCTATTACTGATCAAGTCTGAAAACAGAAGTTTGTTGCTTCACTCTTAGCCTTTTCCTTAGTTTTGATTTGCTTCTCTTTTCATTTAATCTGCATCCATTTTCCTACACACACACACACACACACACACACACACACACACAAACACGGTTTTCATGTTTTCCTTTGCAGGGTTCTGCTTTTTGGAAAGCCCCTCCAATATGACCATCTCTCTAAGCACCATAGCTTCCACACAATCTTTTCAACGGCAACCACGCCCTCCTGTCCTCTAAGTACTATCTTGGCAGGCAGCACTGAGAGGAGGAGTCTGATCTTTAAAAGGCTTTGAAATTGTGCTGTTAACAATAAAGAAATAAAGCAACAAGACTTTTTTTAAAAACATGTTTTTAAAAGGCCTTTGAGCAATAATCCATCTCCACCTCTCTCTCTCTCTCTCTCTTTTTTTACCCTTTGTGCTAGAGGCTTTTTATTATTTAAATTTGCCGAGTAACAGAGAACACCCCCCTCCAAATGTTCCATTTTGAACAATTGAAAGTTTATGTGCTAAATAAATAAATATACATGTGTTGGGCTAACAGTTGCTTCTGTGAGTGCATCTGCAGTAGCCTGGCAGGGCAGGCTGTGGAAGGGATGTGTATTGTGGGCCAAACAGGCTGTAGGGAAAGACAAAAGCATCAGGGAGCTTTTGCTGAGTGGGGGTGGGCAGGTGGTGGAGTACTTCTAAGTTCATTATAAGAGTGGTTTACCCAGCCCTTTTATCCTACTTGAATTCAGTCTTTCTCAACTACACAGTCCCTTTCCTGGAAATGAAATGACAAGAAAAACAGTTCATTTTAATCTCCTTGTTATAGTTATAGCTAAGGATGGGTAAACTTATCTCTCTCCCCCCCCCTTATTCCATGCCCCCTCCCCAGTCTTTTAAGTTTAAATTTTCCACATTGGCCTGGGCCCTGGATCTTTAATGGCTAATCTAAGACTGGGAAAGCCAAGCGAGGTCAGGGTGTTGCTCTGAAGAGGCGCCTATCTACTTTTATTTATTTTTTTAAATAGTATTTAAGATTTTAGGTTTACAAAAAGGCAAAAGAAAACAGAAAGCAAAAAAACACACCAGATTAGACAATAGTAAAACAACACATCACAATAAAAAAACAAGGAAATAAGAACACTTAAAAACAACATACAAAAAAAGAAAAGAAAAAAAAGAAGACAAATCGAGCCTTCCCATAACTTATCTTTCATATGCTTGTTTCCCTGACCTCCTCACACCTCCCTTTTTTGTATTCTAAGTCAATTATCCATTTCAGCAAATCCTTTCCCTCTCTTCAAAATTCTTATCCTGAAAATTTATCTTGATCTTACTATAAGTTTACTTTCCCTTTTTTTCACCAATTAACAGTCTATTTTTCTTAAATCTTTGATACATTTTTGCTAAAATCACATAGATTCATTCCAACATCATTCTAACATTCATTAATTTTACAATGTTTCTGTAAATAGTCTTTAAATTTCTTCCAATCTTCTTCCGCCGACTCTTCTCCCTGGTCTTGGATTCTGCCAGTCATTTCCGCCAGTTCCATATAGTCTATCAACTTCATCTGCCATTCTTCCAGAGTGGGTAGATCTTGTGTCTTCCAGTACTTTGCAATAAGTATTCTTGCTGCTGTTGTGGCATACATAAAGAAAGTTCTGTCCCTCTTTGGCACCAATTGGCCGACCATGCCCAGGAGAAAGGCCTCTGGTTTCTTCAGAAAAGTATATTTAAATACCTTTTTCATTTCATTATAGATTATCTCCCAGAAAGCCTTAATCCTTGGGCATGTCCACCAAAGGTGAAAGAATGTACCTTCCGTCTCTTTACATTTCCAGCATTTATTATTGGGCAAATGATAGATTTTCACAAGCTTGACTGGTGTCATGTACCACCTGTATATCATTTTCATTATATTCTCTCTTAAAGCATTACATGCCGTGAACTTCATACCTGTGGTCCATAACTGTTCCCAGTCAGCTATCATAATGTTATGTCCAACATCTTGTGCCCATTTAATCATAACAGATTTCACCGTTTCATCCTGAGTGTTCCATTTCAACAGCAAATTATACATTCTTGACAAATTCTTAGTTTTGGGGTCTAACAGTTCTGTTTCCAATTTTGATTTTTCCACCTGGAAGCCAATTTTTTTATCCAAATTATATGCCTCCATTATCTGATAATAATGAAGCCAATCTCGCACTCTATTTTTAAATTTTTCAAAACTCTGCAGTTTTATTCTGTCTCCCTCTTGTTCCAAAATTTCCCAATATTTCGGCCATTTAGCCTCCATATTGAGCTTTTTCTGAGCCTTCGCTTCCATTGGTGACAACCATCTTGGGGTTTTATTCTCAAGCAAATCCTTATATCTTATCCAAACATTAAGCAGTGCTTTTCTGACAATATGGTTTTTAAACGCTTTATGTGCTTTGACCTTATCATACCATAGATATGCATGCCACCCAAAAACATTATTAAAACCTTCTAAATCCAACACATCAGTGTTCTCAGGAAGCATCCATTCTCTCAGCCAGCAAAAAGCGACTGATTCATAATAAAGTTTTAAGTCTGGCAGGGCAAAGCCACCTCTTTCCTTAGCATCAGTTAATATCTTAAATTTTATTCGCGGTTTCTTGCCCTGCCAGACAAATCTAGAGATATCTCTCTGCCACTTCTTGAAACACTCCATTTTGTCTAGTATTTGCAATGTTTGAAACAAAAACAACATCCTTGGCAATACATTCATCTTTATCACAGCAATTCGGCCTAGCAATGATAACTTCAAATTTGACCATATTTCTAGATCCTTTTTCACTTCCGTCCAACATTTTTCATAGTTATCCTTAAACAGATTCACATTTTTAGCAGTCATGTTAACCCCTAGGTATTTCACTTTCTTAACCAATGTTAATCCTGTCTCCTTCTGAAACCTTTCTATCTCTGTCACTGTTAAATTTTTCTCTAAAACTTTAGTTTTCATCTTATTCAACTTAAATCCCGCTACTTGTCCAAATTCTTGGATCAGTTCCAGTACTCTTTTGGTACTAGATTCTGGCTCCTGTAATGTCAATACCAGATCATCAGCAAATGCTTTCAATTTGTACTGTTTTGCTCCCACTTGTATACCTTTAACTGTTTGGTCCCTCCTAATCATATTTAAAAGAACTTCCAGGACCGATATAAAAAGCAATGGAGAGACTGGGCAACCTTGTCGTTAATGTGATAGAAAGTAACAAGGAACTCGAGGTTTCATATGAGCAGCGCAAACAAGGATAGAATAAAGGTAAAAAGGTAAAGGACCACTGGGCGGTTAAATCCAGTCAAAGACTGCTGTAGGGTTGCAGTGCTCATCTCACTTTCAGGCTGAGAGAGCTGGCGTTTGTTCACAGACAGCTTTCCAGGTCATGTGGCCAGCATGACTAAACTGCTTCTGGCGCAATGGAACATCGTGACGGAAACCAGAGCATGCAGAAACACTGTTCACCTTCCCACCACAGCAATACCTATTTGTCTAATTGCACTGGTGTGCTTTCAAAGTGCTAGGTTGGCAGGAGCTGAGACAGAGCAACGGGAGCTCACTCCGTTGCAAGGATTCAAACTGCCGACCTTCCGATTGGCATGCCCAAAAGGCTCAGTGGTTTAGACCACAGTCACTACAATGAAAAGAAAAGAAAACCCTGCTGCAGCTGTCTACAGGGAAGTAGGGATGAGATATATCTGACCTTAAGGAGAATCAGACTCCAGTTTCAAGTCCTGGCTGAACTGGTGGTGGTGATGTTTTCTACCAGCATGAAAGCCACTCACATGGTTTAGCATTCGGAAAAAATAAATTACCCACAGGAGAAGTGGGGCTCTTCTCTCTTGAGGCTACTTACCACCTGCCAAACCCAATGGGTCCTCCTATTTTGTACCTTCTCGTGTAACTCTCTTTTTCTCTGTATGAAAAAATCAAGACCTTTGTGCATTCCTTGGCTTTACTCCACTCCATTATTAGCTGTTGTTAGGGAAGACGTCACTCAGCTACATTAGTAAAGAAACAGCAATTTGAATGCACTATAAACATGCAACACCAGATGGCGCCAGAGAGCAGGAAATTTTAAAATGTGGTTTTCCATAAGGATTTATTTCCTTTGTTATAATGATCTAATTTCTGACTTATTTCTAGTGTTTCTTTTCCTGTATCTAGATCCACCCATGGCAGCAGCTGTAAACTGCTTGTAAACTGGGATGGGCATTCTAAACTGGGATCAGCTGCCATCTCCAGAACTACCAGATGCTTGGGAGCATTTACATTAGGAATGATGTGAACTGGAGAACTATGGGTTCTTCATCTCAGTCAATCTCCATCTCAGTCATTCCCCCTTGCCTCATCACTTGCTTGCAGGAAATGTGCCCACTTGTCTCCTTGCTACAGTTGCCATCATCTCCTTCTCTGCTGCTCAGAAAGCAAGTGCCTCGTGGGTGAATGGACAGCCTTCTTGCTTCTCGGGGATTTTCTTTCACCAATGGGGAAAAGGAGGGATGGGGGAGAAATTCAATTCACATTTAAAGTCAGTTTCCAAAGCAACACACAAACTGAAAATTCACACTTCTACGAATTATGCAATGTAGCTCTCCAGCCAAGTAATGTGTACAATAATGCATATCCTAAGGTAAAGTGTGCATTACAATGTATATATTAGTCAAGACAGCATACAAAAATGCATTATATGGGGATTTTATTGCAAAAATGTTTATATTAGGCAAAAAATGTGTGTATTAGGAGAAATCTGCACAAACATGTACTTAAATTTTCACGAGGACTTTAAAAAAAACAAAAACCCACAAGCTGCTGCAGTAAGGTTAAGAATGGATTTTAAGAATGGAAAAATGAGAAACCGTGAGAAACAAAAATGGACAGATTTGCCTATTCCTATTCAGTCTCTTTTGGATGCCATTGGTCTTGGCCATTAGGCGATGGAGACCTAGTCAAATGTGAACTAGACAGAACAGCTTTTCTACGTTTGGGGATTTCAAATAATGAGAGGAAACCAGTAATTAAAGCACCTCCATGGGAAATGGCAAGTGGCTAATTAACGAGCAACTAAGAAGCTATCTATCGGTAACACTGCGGAATAGGAAGCAATAGGAGAAGATGGCATAGAATTAGAAGTTGCAGGGAACCTTTGGTGACTTCTGAATAAACATTAGAGAAAGATTTTGTCCATTGGGGAGGATTGCTAGAAGGTAATATGCTGCTATATTGTGTCCTGTGCTTTTAGCTTATCTTGGAAAAGTAGCTGCAGAAGGCAGCAAGTGTCAAAGTAACCCCCCAAAAGATAAAAATGTTACAATGTTGTTGCTGGGTTGCTGTTGTTTTGAAGACACATTATGCCAGGGAGGGAAGATATTAACAAATTCAGAAGTGATACAGACTTTAATTGGAAATTATGTATTTAAAAAGCCCCACCCCAAATAGTTTCTGGGGATTTATAATTGGTTTATTCTTTCCCTCCTTGTAATTATAGAAGGGGAATGTAGCTGTGAGTTTTGGAATAACTAAGCTCTGGAAAGGAAAAAGTGTGGCCACTTTCGGTAGCAGTGTGACTAAGACTTGTCTAGGATCAATAGGTTGTTTTTTAGAACAGGAACTTCTCTGTTCAAGTCTGGTTATACAGTATTGAAATTTTAGATACTGTCCAAATCATGTGGCTTCTTTACTATGTATTAAGCATGTCTTTATGAATTTTGATGTTACTATATGTTGCATTATTCACATTTTTAAAATTCATGTTTATGTCCCACCTTTCTTCTCAGAAAAGTAGAATAGTGGTAATAGGAGGTGGGGTGAGAAGATATTACTACAAAATACTATTCCTTAAGTAAAAATTAAAATTAAATGTAATAATGACAAAACATTCTCTTACAGCTTGAAAAATTATTCCCTGTGAGAATATTTAAACGAAACAACCCCCCCCCCCCATGTTTCAGCATATCCAGCCTATACGTACTATGTGTGGAAAGGTAAATTGTGAGATAGTAATTTTAAATGCCATAGGGAAAAACCTTTATGCAAATATAGCACCACTTGAGAAATAATCATGCACACACCCCACCCAACATACATAGCTGTCCCAATCCAGAGAGCGGGTGAGTATTCTAGTCTTCATGTATTTCCTGTACATCTAATTAAGAAAGCAGATCCTTTAACTTCAAAGAAAGCACCATGTACACATGTACAATTACGACATAATGCTGAAGTGGGTGCCTCATCGTTGCTCTTGTTTTTCTGTCATATTGAAACTCAAAAATACCCTTCAAGGAAAGTGAAGACGAAAGCAGAAATATAGATTTGACTGATAATAATAAAACTTTGAAAAATGGATATTCTAAATACAGCAGTAATTGCTTTGCTGAAATCCAGGGCTTTTTTCAGTTGGAACTCACAGGAACTCAGTTCCAGCACCTCTCAGGTGGGCGTCATTTCCATTATAAGACAACATGAGAGGCATTCAGGGTGAGTTCCTGTAAGAAAGGCACTGGGGTCTAATTTGATTAGTAGAATGTCATCTGCTGGGTGGAGCTTAAGTGTTGTGTTCTGGAATTGGCCCTTCACTTCGGGTGTTCAGTTAAGTTCAGTTAGAGAGACCAACTGCCATTTTTGCCTCAGGATGTTGTTTTAGTTTCTCTCAGACAGTATGTTATTGTGTTTGACATATATGTGAGCCGAAAGAAAGACATATATGTGTGCTGAAAGAAAAAAAAAACTTCTGCAGAAGAATGGTAGAATATCCTAAACTGTGTGAGTGAGGGGATATTCCCAGTCTGACAGGAGGATTGATTTTTTTAATCGCTCCCCCCCCCCCACAACAGTTCCATCATCTTTTTTCTAGAAAAATAGCACAGCTGAAATCTATTTCCTCAATAGAGTTACGTAGGTCAATCTTACTCGGATATCCCTAACTTTATACAGTAAAGTGGTATCTCGAACGTAATTCATTTCAGAAGACCATTCAATTTCCGAAACATTTGAAAACCGAAGCATGCATTTCCAGAAGCATTTACGTCTGGAAAACTCAATACAGAAGCCGCGTGGCATGTTCGGCTTCCGAAAAGTATTTGAAAACCGAAGCAATTACTTCTGGGTTTTCGGTGTTCGAAAGCCGAAATGTTCGACTTCTGAGACATTCAAAAACCGAGGTACCACTGTATTCTGATAATTTCATGTCCCGCTAACTTTGACCCACTGGGCCTTCTGTTTAAAGATTGAAGTTTGTGTGTGCGCTTGTTTTCTTTCTTAAAGAGAAGCGAGATGTAATGGCCACATGCACAGAACATGTTTGTAACTTTATTCTGTCATATAATAATGCAAAGGAATCATACTATTACTTTCTTCACAAGAGGACAAACACACACACTCACACAAAGTTGTTTACAGAAGTGCCTTGTGGTGACTGGCATTGGTATCACTCGGTTCCATGCTCTGCAACAATCAGCCGGCCTCATGGGAGATGTGACCACAGCTTGGGACATGGGACCGTTTGTTCACTCACTTTCTGTGAAAAGAGTTCTGAAATGTGTTTTGAATAGACAGCATTTTCTTTGTGTAGTTAGTAAATAACACAGGGCAAAGTTAGTCAGCAAGTTACAGAGCCTTCTGCATTCTGATTCTTTGGGGCCCTTTTGTACCAAGCTGGGCAGGATGTTTTTCATGGAATGTGACCTTGCTGCAAAACCGGAGGTAAGGAGAAAATGTTGGAGTAGTAAGCTAGGGAATACTTTGTCATACTGCTGACGGAAGATCTTGTGAGAAGATCTGAGTGACTTGACTCTTCATGTAGCCACTCTACTGTACATTACAGTGTCTTCTGATGTGTTTGCTCAGCATCTGGTGTGAAAACTTCTAATGTGCCAGTAGGGGCCTGCTTTGGATTTAATTTTATTTTGTCAGTGCAAAACATGAGGGCTAATGTGAAAATACTTATGTCTTTAATTTAGAAAATAGTAAGGAAATGGGATCCATCTGCCTGCGTCAATCTCAAAATCCCTGGAACGGAAGGCAAAACTGTGCGCAAATTAGTAAATGACAGAGCCGGGGACCTTTTGGGCAACTGTACCGAATCGCCAGGTAAAGGTAAGCTGGTATAAAATCATATATCCCTGAATTATGTGGAAGATCTCTGTCATTCTTTCTTATCATGAGCTTATCACTCCTTATTCTCCCTTTGTTTTTACCCATAAACCATGGTCAGACTCCAGGTGATCTATCCACAGGTTCCCATAATTCTGCTCACATTTCCAGAAACACTAATTTGACTTAAAAAGGAAACTGGTCATTCATATTGCACTCCTATCCATGTCTATGCAGAAGTAAGCCCCACTAAGTTCTGTGGGACTTACTCCTAGGTAAGTGTTTATAGAATTGCAACCTATAGAGCTTAGAATCATGCTTAGTTGCATTGTTTGTGTTATGTAAAGCAGATACTTCTAAAACTACCCAACCCCCATGGCAATCAGTGATGTGGCTCTTTAGGAAGATAGGAGGAAATGCATCATGGAACAGAAATGAATTCAAGAAAGTTTTTTTAAAAAACAACACACAACTACTTTAGCTCATAAAAATTGCTAAGCCACAATACTTCTCAGGAGGAGACTTGTTGTATACAGTGTAATTGCTCCAGAAATCATGTGATTGATTATGGCTATTTACTATGTTCCGTTCAGGAGAAAATATAGAAATAGTTTTGCTGGTTTTTACTCAGGAGACGTGCTTCTTACGATAAGCAATAGAACCGCATTTGTTGTTGCAAAACCAGTACTGATTAATATTGGATCCTGACTTTGCCTCCTGAGAATAGAAAAGCTCCTTCTGTCTGTGGAAGGCTTCTGACTCAGTAGAAAAATGGGGAAGACATAACTTTCCAAACTCTTAGAATAGGGAGGTGCAAGATAACTTGCATCAATTTCCTTCCATCTCCCTACAGCACCCTATGTCCTTCAATGTCTGATCTGGGGATTGGGAACCCCCTGCAACAATGTGGTATCAGGCATGGGCATTTGCCCACTAGTGAAAATGACTTTTTATTGGTGAGAATGTCCCAAGTGGAACTGGTAGCAAATTCTGGATCCAATCCATTATGTTTGCTTTCTGCTAGAAAATGTGTTTATTATTGTTGTTACATTAAGTGGATACTTAGCAATGAAAAATAGTAGGCTATATATTATACAGTAACTGTAGGTCTAGTGCCATATTGTGATAAATAATTATATATATACAGTGGTACCTCGCAAGACGAATGCCTCGCAAGACGGAAAACTCGCAAAATGAAAGGGTTTTTGGTTTTTTGAGTTGCTTCACAAGACGATTTTCCCTATGGGCTTGCTTCGCAAGGCGGAAACGTCTTGCAAGTTTGTTTCCTTTTTCTTAAAACCGTTAATACAGTTGCGACTTGACTTCGAGGAGCAACTCATAGCACGCGGTGTGGTAGCCTTTTTTGATGTTTTTGAAGACTTTGGTGATTTTTGAAGCTTTTCCAAAACTTTTCCGACACCGTGCTTCGCAAGACGAAAAAAACCGCAAGACGAAAAAACTCGCGGAACGAATTAATTTCGTCTTGCAAGGCACCACTGTATATGAAACTTCTCTGTGGGGACTTGTATTTCAAACACATGCAAGTATTTTTTCTGTCTTAGAGTTTTCCCATTAATTAAAAGTTGCATTAATTTGTTGGAGTTTATTGATATTATGCAACGAGGGAATAACTCTACTATATGTTAAGACAGTAAAGTTAATAGTTTGCATTCAGTCACTTACAACAAATAAGCCACTAGAGGTCAGTGCAGAGTGCTGGAACTGAGCTTCTACCTACGCTGAATACTTTAACCAGCCTTACTAAAACTGAATGTTTCTTTATGCCAGTATTAATGGTAAAACCTTAGAATACCATACTCATGTTAGAACAGATTAGTATGAATAAAGCAATGCTTTGTAGGACAGACTTGGAATTAAAATTCCATTAACAACTATATTGTATGTTTCAAAAGGGGCAGCACCAAACAAAAGAAAGCGTATGTGAGAGAGTGAGTGAGTGAGTGAGTGAGTGTTTGTGTGCGCGCGTGTCAAAATTGTACTATGTAAAGCAAAATACACAAAATGTTTTTGTGGAACCCTTCCTCAGATGCACAGAAATTCAGTTTATTGCTTCTTAAAGGAAATATCTTTCAAAGCATAAGGTATCATTTTACCATTTTATTATATTGTTCTTCGTATCCATTTGGTAGCATTTTTAAAGAAACTTTCTCACAATGAATGTCCATCATGACTTGGGAATGGAAGGGAGGTGGGGAGGCCGTGCTCCACTAGGTTGTGTGGTCCAGTACATCAAAGTTTCCCAGCCCCAACTATTTCCTAGACTGCCCTGTGGCATCTACAGTAGTGGCTGGTGACCATTGGGGCTGTTTGGGCAGAAGGCAGAGGTGAGATGGGTATCTGAACAATGATCTGCTGGGCAAGGTCTCCCTCTACCCATCCATCAGTTCTGAATGTGTGTGTGTGGACTGAAAACTGTGCTAGGTCATATCACTATGTGGTGGCCTGGCAGGGCACAGCTTCCACTGCTTCCCATATTGGCCTAGAGAAGCACCTCAGAAGGTGAGTAGCAAAGCCAAGGACATGTTGGTGGAGAGGGAGAATGGTCTAATATGCTGGTAGAGTGGAAGGAGCTGGATCACGCAGAGAGGAGGGTTGTGTGTGCGTGCACTGATTTATGGGGTGGGAGGAGAGGGAAAGGAGCAGGGCATTATAATGGCGTATGAGTTTTATTAATAGATTTATATCCTGCCTTTCAGGACAAGTGTCCTCACATGGCGGTATAAAAGGAGTTGTAAAATATATAAAAACAATTTAATGAGTAATTAAATATGCCTTGCCTGGCAGAGTTAAATATGTTTAATTCCTCCTTGATATATGTGCTGTGACCTAGACTCAATGCTGGTCTTAAATATGTTTAGATTAGTAATACCAAAATGGCTTCCCTCCAGTGAGATGGAGGCTGGAAGCAACAGAATAGTCTGATTTTGGAATCTGCTGCTTGAATCAATAGTTTTATATGGCTTCATGGATATATATCAGGGTAACTTACTACAGCTCTTCCACCACGCCTTATCCCCTTAACCCAAAACCCTCAACCAGGTATAACGCTTAAACTTTGTTCTTAACATCTTATGATTCAACCTTAGTTCTGTTCTTGGTTGCAAGTTATAATTCGAGGTTCTGATCTCATATTACCCATTTTTCATTGTAAAAAAAAACTGAATTCAGATCCTGATGCTATGTACTAGTGGCAAGCCTGAACCAATCTTTCCCTAATATATGCAGGTTCCCATTTCTTCCCACTACACACCAGTCTTGGCCTGTGATACTTGGGCTGCCCCCTTGCTGACCAGTCCCTTTCAGAGAGTCATAAACAATTTTGAACATTAATTATATGTGATTCCATAATTTGTCGTGGACACTTCTGATTTTTCCTGTCCATTATTGTAAGTCAAAGGTAGAAGCAGGATATCAAACAGCCTCCTGTGGAACATGAAAGGTGTCCTCAAGAGATGCTGTCTGTTAAAAAGTTTTAAAAAGATATGAATGTCACATAATTCATGAGACTAGTGCTGCAATCATCCTGACATGGAGCTATAGTTTTTAAATCAGCTTTCCCCCAACCTGCTGTTTTGGACTACAACTTCCATCATGCCTGACCATTGGAGATTTTGGTTAGAGCTGAAGGAAACAGGCATGCAAAACATTTGGAAGGTACCTCGTTGTGGAAAAATGGTAAATGTAACTGTATAAAGCTATCTGGGCTTCCTGGTTTAGTAATTATTTATAGTGACTGGAAACAATTCTTCAGGGTTTCAGGCAGGAATCTCTTCCAGCCTTACCCAGAGATGCCTGAGGCCATCTGCATGCAAAACTTGTGTTCTTACCACTGAGCTGTAGTCCCTTCCCTTGTGTCATCACTCAGTAGGGACTGACTGTAGGGTGGAATCTACACACATATAAAAAATGTTCTGAAAATGCTTTTTAAAAAAGCTTTTTAAAAAATACATTGAATTTTCCACAAGGCTCACCATTGCCATCTAGTGTCACATTGTATATTGCACTTAAAACACACCTAAAACATTTTATTTGCAGCTGTGTAGCTGAGGAGGTTAGGTCCAAGAATCTGCAAGAGCTTAGATAATGTAAGGTGCAAGCTATGGATTTGCGGCTACATTTCACTGGTCAATAGCTTCTGAAAAATGGTATCTGGGGCAACTGTCTTTGAGGGCAGCATGTATTTTGACTATTACCTGCTGAAGATTATCAGATTACTCTAACATGTTGCACATTGTTCCAGTGCATTTGGGTAGAAGAATATTGAACATTTGTTTCCTATTGCAGGATGGGCAATCGCCCACCCTGAGCTGTTGTCTCTCTTCACCTGTCACAGGTTTGCCTCTTGATTAATGATTCACAGATCCTGAAGTAGAAAAAACTGGGAGCAAGTGGCTTCCCTCTTTACATTTCTGCCTTTTGCTCTTGCCCTAGAATGCAATAGGCCAACTATTTGTGTTGCTTCAATGAATTTTGTTTACAAGCCAAATTACATAAACATCTGGTCTCTTCTATAACATATGGAGCATCAAAAGCCTTAACATTTGCAGATAAAAATAATAGGCGGACTTCAGCCAAATACTATATTTTAGAGACCCGTCATTCTCACTGTTCTGTTGGCACAACACCAGAAGGTTGAGGGCCTGGGACGCAGTCAGCCTAGACTTTATTCTGAAGTTGGAGTCCAGTGATTGTATCCACATTCCCTAGGTTTTTGGTGCCCCTTAAAAGTGAGGAGGGGAACAGCCACTTTTTTGACAGATATTCCACTATGAATAGGCCTATAAGATACAATTTCAAATACCTGTCACCATTTACACCCATTTCCAGGCCCAGAAATGTCATAAGTGGAGATGCTGCCATTGTCCTGGTTGAACTTGGTTGAAGTTCATTGTCCTATGAACTTGTCTCACCCACAATGCAGGGCTGATGACTGAAGGCTTTCTTCTTCTTTTGACTGAACTGAAGGACAAGTCAACACATCCTCCACCCCACCACCATTCCATGTACAAAAGCTGCTTAAACTGGCAGCTGACTCTTCAACATGAGCAACAGAACATTATCCTCCACTGCACCTGAAGGCTAGTTTAGGAGATGTAGAGAAGGTGAATGACATACAGAGATCTGTTCTCCAACACTTGTTTGCAGTACTCACTCTGTCTAATGACTGAGCCAGCCCTGATTATGACTTGAGTGCCATTTCGCCAAGAAGTTATTCTCCACCTTACAGTGGGAAGTGAGGTTCTGCAGGTATGTGGCCAATGTTCAGGTTGACCATGCTCCTTTGTAAAACCTCTACACAAATATCCTTTCATTTTATAGCCTTACACTCAATGAAGTTCTGATTGATTGCTATGAACTCTAAGATCTGAGCAAGTTGTCTTCAAGGGTATTTTCCCTCTATTCCAATCAGTTATTCCACAGTTTGCTGAAAATGTTTTATGCATTTGTTGTCCTGTTTCAGACTTAAAACTCACTCTTGTTCCCATGTGTGTTTTCAAGCAGTTCTCAGGTAAGGCTGGTCCTAGGAATAACAAATCCTGTGGCAAGTGGTGGGGTGGGCAATACAATAAGGTCCATGTGTGTATCAGTGTTTTGAACTGGGAGACAGCTCTCTGAAACTGATGAGCTTTTCTTTAATAATAATAATAATAATATTTTATTTATACCCCGCCCTTCCCAATTCAAAAACCAGGCTCAGGGCGGCTAACAACAAATTTAAAACACTTTAAAATACTTAATTATAAAAGCAGCATAAAATACAGTATAAAAACATGAATAACAATAAAAATCAAAAATCAATTAGATAATCCCGCATTAATGAGTGCACACTGAGAAAACTTCTAAAAGTATTAATAAAGTCAAGGAGAATCTAGTTATCTCTGGTTCTCAGCTGGGAACGCTTTGATGTATTGAGGTTCAAGAGTCCTACCCACAAAGCAGCACTTAAAAATTGTACAAAACAGTTGCTTAGCCTGTTTGCTCATCACACTTGTCCAATGCTATATACTGTGCTGTATCAGCAGGGAACCAATAGCACATGGTCCTCCACCATCTTGTATTGAACCATTGGACTACACATAAAAATTAAATGAATTCCTTATTTTGGGAGACTCTGCAGATGCTATTGTCTATGGAGCTAATACTGTATAACATGGAGCTGAAAATCATGCTCATTACCCTGTGAATGTTTTCCCACTATTTTTCACTTCAGCTTTACAGTAACATGTCTTTCAGTTTAATAGTCAGTAGGTTTACCTTCAAAAACCTATATGACTTTTTAATAATAAAAACCTAACTAGTCATTTGAATTATTCTCATTTATGCTTGAGCAGGTGGCATCTGCACCTGCTTGAAAGCATTTCAAAAATTCAGAGGCTGAATCTTGGCGCCAAAGTCTTCAACCCAAAGGTATTCATTTTCCATTTGAAAATCATACTGTAATGTACATAAGATAGTCAAGGCTGCAGTTAGAGGAGTTGGTCCAGCTGTCTGATTTATGAGGCTCACTCCTGCATACTCTACCCTGGAAAATCAACTCTCACATTTGCATTGCAACAAGAGAGGTTTTCTAAGACACAGTATGTGGTGAAGAGCACTACATATTGGCAGGCAAAATTGATCCTTTGCAAGTCAAGAGCTACAGAATGGCTTAATTTCCAAAGCAGTACCTATGGGCCTTTGGACTAAGGACCATATGTGCTATGGGAGCTGGTGGATTTGTATGCTTAAATCGGAATTGTACTTCTGAAACAGAGGCCAAGAGCTCTCTCTGTAACATTAATTCCCAAAGGGTTTAGATTGCAGGAGTCTTGCGGGTTACTTGCCAGGCTGTCAGGCTTATAAATTTGTAACATTTAAACTGGGATTATTTCTGATACTTGATTTAACTTGGATTTATGAAGAGAGCATAGGATCAAGAGGCTTAAGATCCAGTGTGCTCTAGTGGATAGTTAAATTTGGATCAGAGTTCAAATCACCAAGCTCGCTGAATGGCTTGACCAAAACTATCTTTCAGCTTCAGGTCCCCATAAAGCTCCAGAAGAGAATTAACCATGCATTCCTGGAACAGGCCCAGGCCCAGGAACTCATCTCTGCCAGCAGAAATGGCTTCGTTTCTTTAAAAAGAGGGTGGAACTAAAACAAGAAATAGTTTGTGTTTGTATTGTGTACAACATCTGCACTCTTTGGCATTCCCCTAAAAGTTCTGGAACATTTTTGTAGGGCCAGTATTGGGAAAGCTGTCAGATCTTGAGGGACATGCTTAATGGAAGCTGCCTGTTTTCAGGAAGAGGGTGTCCTCAATGCTCCCCCAAAATGTTGTTTTCATCCAAAGTTGGCATTGTCTGAAGGGCAATTTTCAGTGTGATGAAGAACTCCTACCCACTCAAATTCAGCTGTGTCATGTTTAAATAGTGAAGATTATTATATAGATGCATATAAGAATTGATAAACTGGATCTCTGAAAAATGCAGACACGTCCTGTGTGTGTCATTACAGCATTTTCATATGTCTAGGTAAGGGGTCACTGAAATTCTTGCTATTTCAAGGGAGGAATTAATTAGCATCACCAGCACGATCCAGTTAGGTGCTGCATGTGCATTGGAAGCAAGCTACCATATGCACACACTTTTCAAAATGGAGATTTGGGCACATATGCAAGCACTGTGCTGGTCTGACCTGTCCTCAGCAGGAACGCACAGCAAGGCAACAGGGTCTTGTGACCTTATATAGTTCCAGGTGATCAACTTGGTTTCAGAAAAAGCTGCAGGTAAACTGAAGCCTCATGCCCAGATTACTTACCATAAGCTGCCCTGCCACATCACTGAGGAGTGTGACTTCTTAAAGGGACAGCCTTCTGGCCTGAAGGAGAGCACTTCTTTTCCCTGTGGCTTATCTAGTGTGCTCCTTACACCACTGGGCAGGCATTTTGGAGCAGGAAACACTTGGCTCCCCAGGTGAACCAGGCTCAAGGGAAGAAGTTTGTGAGAGTTCTGGTTTGGAGTCCATAGGTCCATGGCCATCAGCCTCAATTTCAGAACTGGGTACCTGGTTTTGTTCATCCAACAATGTAGTAGCCCCAGATGTTGCTACTTATCTTCCTCCACCTCTGAACATTGGCTGTTGCTTGAGTCAGGATCTTGACATGTGCCTGTGATTCCCCAACCTGGTCTAGCCACTGTTGCTTTGTAAGTATAGTCCACTGAGAAAACTTAGAGTCATGCTGCACACCTGTTCAGGGGAGGATCAAGAGGCTGAATTAACCAACTGGGTCTTTGCCAGATAGCTTATTGGCAGAATTATATCTTCTTTTACTGGACTCTGAATGTGCAGCCTTGGCCACCGCAATGCACTTTGTTGAATCATTGCCTAGAAATAGGATCTAGCTGTGTAAGACTGCAGTGTCAGAAACCAGTGTTGTATATCTTAAGCTTGAAAATGTACAATGAACAGTTATAGTTTCAGTAATCTGCGTGAATTGGGGTTAACACAACAAAAGAACGTGTACACTTATTTAATTGAACTTCCTGTACAAGTATGTATTTTTTAAAAAAATTATAACTCGCAAATTCCCATTCCTTTGTCTGCAGCTCATTTCAGTGTTCCTTCCTTCCAATAGTACCATAAAGAGAATTTGTGCATACATATTTGTAGTTGTGTCATGTCAATCCCATCTCCAGATATGAAAACAAGATGTCCTATTGAAGCTCTGCTCATTTTGTTAAATTGCTGTGTGCTACCCCTCTCAAATAGCTAAATCATCTCTGTATGGTGGGAGGAAATGAAGCATGTATTATATTACTTAAACAGGAAAAGAAAACTGTCGTGGCTATCATGAACAAATAAACGTTTAATTACAGGGGAAAGAGGTTGGGGTGGAATCAATGCTTTTGTGTTGATTTTTTACCCTTTTCCTAAACTGTATGGGCATAATTTTGTAGTTCTATCTGCACCTGTGGCCTTTGGACCTAATGTTTATGACAGATGGACTGGACTATATTAGAAGAATTTATTGCAGAATCCTTCTGTAGATATCTGTGCCATGATAGACATTGGATGTGGTGCATGGGTGTATTTATTAGTGCAGTCTTCCTCTCCACTTTATGTGTTTCCTTTGAGTCTGATGGGGTTTGCTATGTATGGGTACAGTACAATGGTATAAACTCATTTTTCTCTTATCTGTTATGGAATCTTTTCTTGCCACACCCAATAAATGAGGGTGGGAGAGGAAGGCAGAGCATAACACTGGGGCAACCCTATGCCATTCTAGAAACAAGAAGAAAACAGAGATAAAAGCAGCATTCTTGGCAACACTGCCATGACACACCTTCATGATCACACTTGCTGATGATTCCCATATGTTAGATGTACATCAAAGGCACTAGTCAATGTAAAGTGGTGGCTGAATAACTCCATGATACTATCCACTTCAGACAGCAACAAATAGAAATAGCCAAAAGTTACAGGATGCATGACAGACAGGAGTTTGAATCTGATGGCAGCCCAAATGCTGCACACTATGGCTCTTCTGCAGAGAAATGTTAGGGCAACAGAGGGAATTAAAAAATACTTTCCCTTCTCATGATTAGTCAGCTCCATAATTCAGTAGCAGGAAATTTCCACAGAACTTCCATAGGCAGCAGGGAGGGAATCCCAGTAAAAGGGCTTGAGTCCTCCTGTACAAAGAATTCCCCCACTGGCACTGTATGCAACACATCTGCATTAATGTCCATATGAGGGAACAAACCAATTTTTTCGTAAGGCAGAATAGAATGCTTGGTCTTAAAAAAAAAAAGTACACAAATAACACAGCCATTCTCAAGCAAGAATAAAAGAGATTCTGACAAACATCAGGAATAATTTTCTCACTGTAAGAGCTGTTCAACAGTAGAACAGGCTTCCTCAGAAGGTGGCAGACTCTCCTTCATTGGAGGTTTATAAGCAGAGGTTGGATAGCCATCTGCCATGGATTCTGAGATTCCAGCATTGCAGGGGATTGGACTAGATGATCCCTTGCAACTCTGCAATTCTCTGAGATTCAAATTGTTCATGTTGATGTGCAGTTCTGTCACTGTGCTTGGCTTCCTAGATCTAACTAAGTTCTAGCATAGATGATATGCCTTCAAAACTTTTGATTTTTTTTTTAAAAAAATACATAACTTGGACGTTGCTTAAATGTTCCTTATATCTCATATGCTGGCTTCCTCAAAATATCTTTCAATTAACACTGTCTTCAGAAAGGATGTTCTTGGAGACAGTCATTACGTATATGACCTATATGGAGCACATACAAACTTTTTATAACAGTATATTCCATACCTAATTGGAGCATAAGTATTGGCTTTTGTATCCTGCACTTTGGTGTAATTCCCCACTCGCAAACAGCTTAGATGAGAATATTTCAGTTTCTTGACATCTCAACTATCCGTGGTTCCTATTTCCAATCCTATACACACTTTCCTAGGAATCATTCCCATTTAGTTTCACAGGAATTACTACTTGAGCCTGCATGTGTAAGGTTGCATTATAAGCTTCACAATGCTGATACAGTCCTGCAAATATATTGAAACATTTTGAACAAGGAAAGCTTTTGTCAAATGGTTGGGACCATCATTATTTGCCCGGTTGCCAGTATTTAATGTAAGACTCACTCTGATATTCCCCATGCAGAACATTTATTTCATAATGGATATTTGTGTGGAAAATTGCTATGGATGCTAATATACTGTTGAGCTCAAATCATTGCATAAAAAGGAATTGACTTAGAATAACTTGTTTTCAACTAATGTGTTGGACTAGATTGGTAGGGTTGCATCCAACTAGTCATACACAGAGTAAGCCAATTAACGTAATGGACCTAAGCTAGCCATGTCATCTCAGTTTAGTGGGTCTACTTTGGGTAGAACTTGCATTGGGTGCAACCTATGGCCTTTTCCAGTCAGCTGAAGCTTCCCGTCATATTGTTGTATTTTATTACTTTCTCTAGTAAAGCCATAGCATGAGATTAAATTGTTCTTGAAATAAGGCACTGCTTTGGAATTTCTATATTTTTAAAATAGGACAGTTCTGGATGATGGTTGTTGAGCATCTTTATCGTCTTTTTTAGTATATTGCGTTTAAAGGTTATATTTAATGTTAAGAATAGCAGTGAAACAAGCATGCTACTTTCTTGCATTGTACAAAGACTTTAGAAGGATGGAAGAAGAATTTTGGCCATGGAAGTGTTGTTGTTGATGATAATGATAATGGATTCATGCAGTGGCAACCCATATTATGAAATATGTAGTTGAGAAGGAAAACTTACCAAACAATTGGAACACTTTATTGGCTGATTGTAAAGTTCACACAAAATTTACAGGTCTATGCCTATTATCAATGCATTGCAAGATCGTAGGTGTAAAAAGAATTGTGAACCTGGGCATTTTACAAGCATGATTCACATTTTACTGGGTGTGTTTTCACATTATTCGGGTACATGTTGATCTTTTATGTCACTGACTGGTATAAATTACTCATCCTTTTTAATGAAATGTCAGTTCAGTATTTTGTTTGAGACAAAGCAACAAAAAGTATGTGGTGGAAGAACAGAATGTATTATTTATTTCACTCTTTGAAAGAAAACACGCACACGAACTGCTTCCACTTCTGCTTTGAATTGTTTACCTTATTGTGAGGGATGGGGAAGAAATCTGATTCAGTTCACATTTAATAATAATAATAATAATAATAATTTATTATTTATACCCCGCCCATCTGGCTGGGCTTCCCCGGCCACTCTGGGCGGCTTCCAAAAGAATATTAAAATACTATAATACATCAAACATTAAAAGCTTCCCGAAACAGGGCTGCCTTCAGATGTCTTCTAAAAGCCTGGTAGTTGTTGTTCTCTTTGACATCTGGTGGGAGGGTGTTCCACAGGGAAGGCGCCACTACCGAGAAGGCCCTCTGCCTGGTTCCCTGTAACTTGGCTTCGCAGTGAGGGAACCGCCAGAAGGCCCTCAGTGCTGGACCTCAGTGTCCGGGTAGAACGATGGGGGTGGAGACGCTCCTTCAGATATACTGGACCAAGGCCGTTTAGGGCTTTAAAGGTCAGCACCAACACTTTGAATTGTGCTCGGAAACGTACTGGGAGCCAATGTAGGTCTTTCAAGACCGGTGTTATGTGGTCCTGCGGCCGCTCCCAGTCACCAGTCTAGCTGCCGCGTTCTGGATTAGTTGTAGTTTCCGGGTCACCTTCAAAGGTAGCCCCACGTAGAGCGCATTGCAGTAATCCAAGCGGGAGATAACCAGAGCATGCACCACTCTGGCGAGGCAGTCCGCAGGCAGATAGGGTCTCAGCCTGCGTACCAGATGGAGCTGGTAAACAGCTGCCCTGGACACAGATTTGACCTGTGCCTCCATGGACAGCTGTGAGTCCAAAATGACTCCCAGGCTGCGCACCTGGTCCTTCAGGGGCACAGTTACCCCATTCAGGACCAGGGAATCCTCCACACCTGCCCGCCTCCTGTCCCCAAAAAACAGTACTTCTGTCTTGTCAGGATTCAACCTCAATCTGTTAGCCGCCATCCAACCTCCAACCGCCTCCAGGCACTCACACAGGACCTTCACTGCCTTCACTGGTTCTGATTTGAAAGAGAGGTAGAGCTGGGTATCATCTGCATACTGATGAACACCCAGCCCAAATCCCCTGATGATCTCTCCCAGCGGCTTCATGTAGATGTTGAAAAGCATGGGGGAGAGGACAGAACCCTGAGGCACCCCACAAGTGAGGGCCCAGGGGTCTGAACACTCATCCCCCCCCACTTTCTGAACACGGCCCAGGAGGAAGGAGCGGAACCACTGTATAACAGTGCCCCCAGCTCCCAGCCCCTCAAGACGGTCCAGAAGGATGTTATGGTCGATGGTATCAAACGCCGCTGAGAGATCCAGCAGAACTAGGAAACAGCTCTCACCTTTGTCCCTAGCCCGCCGGAGATCATCAACCAGTGCGACCAAGGCAGTTTCAGTCCCATGATGAGGCCTGAATCCCGACTGGAAGGGATCCAAATGGTCCGCTTCTTCCAGGCGTGCCTGGAGTTGTTCAGCAACCACTCGCTCAATCACCTTGCCCAAGAATGGAAGATTTGAGACTGGGCGATAGTTGGCTATCGTGGCCGCATCTAAAGATGGTTTTTAAGAAGCGGTTTAATAACCGCCTCTTTCAGCGGGTCTGGGAAGGCTCCTCACGGAGGGAAGCATTCACCACCCCACGAAGCCCATCGCCCAGTCCTTCCCGGCTAGCTTTTATAAGCCAGGATGGGCAAGGATCAAGGAGGCAAGTGGTTGGTTTCACTCGTCCAAGCAGCCTGTCCACATCCTCGGGGTAACAGATTGGAATTGATCCCACACAACTTGACTAGACAGGACTCTAGCACTCTCCCGCCCGGCCCTGCTCCCACGGTGGAGTCTACCTCTTCTCGAATCTGAGCGACTTTATCTGCAAAAACTTTGCAAAGTCATTGCAGGAGATCATGTGGCCGCTACTGGGCCCTGATGGAGCAGGTGGTTCCGCTAAATTGCGAACCACCTGAAAGAGTCTCCTGCTGCTGTTTTCCGCAGATGCAATAGAGGCGGTGAAGAAAGTCTTCTTCGCCGTCGCTATCGCCACTTGGTAGGCTCGACATTGAGCTCTAACCCGTGTCCGGTCAGATTCAGAATGGGTTATCCGCCACCGGCGCTCTAGCCGTCTCAACGATTGTTTCATTGTCCTCAGATCCGTGGAAAACCACGGGGCTGTCCGGACTCCATGCAATCGGAGAGGGCGCTTTGGAGCCAAACAGTCAATAGCCCTGGTTAACTCCACATTCCAGCGGGCCACCAGGGAATCAGCTGAAAGGCCATCAACATGGGATAAAACATCCCCTACCACTCTCTGGAAACCATTTGGATCCATTAAGTGGCGGGGGCGGACCATCTGAATCGGTCCCGCCTCCCTGCAGAGGGGAAGGGTCACGGAGAAGTCCAGTTGCACCAGGAAGTGATCTGACCATGGCACTTCTTTGGTTTCGCTTTACTTAATGTCAGATCACCAACATCCATAGAGGTGAACACCAGGTCTAAGGCATGCCCGTGGCTATGAGTTGGGCCAGACTTATTCAGGGACAGCCCCATGGAGGCCATGCTTTCCACGAAGTCCC